AATCATTCTAAGCAACATATGGCAATCTGCGGTCTTTCCTTGCACTTAGGTGGCACGGAAAGCCGTAAAAATCTTGAACAAAAGCTCATCTTTCAAACCGGCAGTCTAAATCCCACAGGGATCAATGAACGCTTTTCATTCCACTAATTTATTCATGTTTTTCTCGTTGCCATGCACCCACCAATAACGTAGCTCCATTTTCTGCCTTTAAAAGCACACACAACCCACAATTCCTCTATTCGCTCCGACGAAGGGCTAACGCTCGAAACGTCAGCTTTTGTAATCATTACGGTGGCCAATTTACCATTTCAACTTTGTTGATATATCCAAATTATTTCGTTACTCCCACCGACGCAGCCCCAAACAGTTTCTTTCGAAACTATCAGCCTTTATTCATCTGATTTAAAATAGTTGTACATGATGAGGACTTAATATTAAGTTGCGGGAAGCTTGCTCATTTGGCTTCAAACTTAATGTTTTTTATATGTGTGTGTGTTAGAATAAGAAGTATTAAACAAGTGATGTATTTTATGGTGTATCCCGTTGACTGTCAATTTAAAAAAACTGGGGTTGCTTTGTAACAATTTATGAAGTTCCTTGTCACGAGCACGGCGTTATTTAGGAGGCTAGTTAAAGCATAATGCTGTTAACGTAATCATGTACCTTTACTTCTAATAATTTATTTCGTTTTTACTTCAATTTGGATGTAATAGATCGGATTCAAACAGCTGCGCCAGGTCAGCGGATTCAAACAGCCGCGCCCGGTCGAGTCTGGGAGAGGGACTGGATGGTCGGATTAATCTGATAACCGATAGAGATTTCCGAGAAAGAAATGATGCCTTGAGGATTGACGCGGGGAATGACAAGGAAGGTACAGGACTGTGGATCGAGAGGTTTCCCTATTCAGTAATTTAAGGATTTATATTAGTTCGCAGTTGGACTAAGTCTTGTAATGACCCTTCCTGATGTTTTGATGAATTTCTATCGCCAAGCGAACCTAAAAAGTTGCATTGTTAATTGTTAGACCCCTTAGTCGCAGGATTGAAAGGAAACGGGTAAAATTGGTCTTTTGTCGAACAGCATGGATGAAATACCAGTAGCGGGGTGATACGTGAGAGCATATCTACGGATGAAGAAATCTATCAGAGCATAGTTGTGATTCAAAAATAGTCACGATCTTTCCCGGTTCAGAAGTTTAAAATTCTAATTTCTCATCGCTTGACTCTGCAGCCTCCAAACTTCTCCGCTGCTATTTTTTCTGACAGATCCGGACTCTCAGTTAAAGCCCGTGACAGTTAATTTTCACCACGAAGAAAACAGAGCGGCTCACAAGACGGAGGACTATGAGATACCGCAACTGATAGTCAGACGAGGACAGGAATTTGACGTCACTGTAACGTTTAACAGAGAGTATCATCCGGACGTTGACGTCATAGTTGTACAGTTTGTCACAGGTGAATTATTTTTAATGTGTGTATTCTTCCGTCCGTTTGACTGATCACACTGAAATGCTTCTAAAAGATTTGATTGACGATGGTGTTTACCCTCTTTCGAGAAATAATATAATTTATTTTCAATTGATAAAGCTGTTTATCATTAATGTAGCTGTTTCACGTTATGTGTGCCTCTTCAGGAAAAAGACCCCAAGAAAGCAAAGGATCGACTATTCGGGTGTCAATTCGAGCCAGCTTCACCCCAAACCAGTGGGCAATGCAGATCAAGAAAGCCAGTGGAAACACAGTCCAACTGTCAATCATGTCATCAACGAAAGCCATCATTGGTCGATACGACGTATTTATCGAAACAAACAGCACAGCTTCATCTGAAAATGACTCCCTGTTTCGACACAAAGTTGAGGAGCAGATTTGCGTGCTCTTCAATCCTTGGTGTTCGGGTGATTTTTCTTTTTTTTTTTTTACTTTCTAGCGTCATGTGAAGTGATAAACCCTTTACACCCTAACATCAGAGTCCATATTCTCCCTACCATTCTCTATGCATTTCTATTTATACTGACAAGGAGAATTCGTTTGACGATCATTTCCCTTTATTCGCATCATTCTAATGAATGATACAGCAGTAATACTGTAAGGATAAATTAGTTGCTGGTCATCCTTGAGGTTTAAAGGCTTAATTAACTCTATTTTAGTGCTTCGGCTCCCGAACACGTCCCGAGCATTACTCCTACTCAAAGGAAACTTGTTTCGACGAACGTCAATGTTAGAAACCCACACTTGCAACTCACCCTAAATGAAGCAACTAGCTTGTGCATGTTTTAGGTAAATTTCTGCTGATTACATTTGATAGAAGGATAATAAGTTTCGCAGCTAAAACTGCTCCCAGGATGCAAAGGTACAAGGACAGAACGATCGATTCCCGGCGGTACGTTTTGTGCATGTTTATCAAATCAAATGGTTATTTTTGGAACGGATATAAGTTCACGAGGAACCCCTCCGTAAATGTCCCACATATATATAAATTCTTTTAGAATATCTGGCTTTTTCAAGAACATTATGTTCGTATGGTCTTTGCAACCGTTTGAGTTTTGGATTAGACTCCACTGGACACCAAATTTGACATTTACGATGAATATATGAAGTTCATATATTCAACGTGTCTGATTTATCATCACGGTTTTATTACGAATCAACTTAACGGCCTGCTCCCAGTTGGCTTGTTAGCTCAATTGGTAGAGCGCTGCACTAGTATCGCAGAGGTCAATGGTTCGAATCCCGTACAGGCCTGATTTTTTTCAGGTCTGATTTTCGCTATTGCTCTCTACCGCGAGGATCGTGCATCATACGTAAATTTGACATTCTTTCTCTTATGCTAGACGATACAGTCTACATGGAAAATAATGAACACCGTAATGAATATGTCATGGAGGATTTTGGTTACATATGGAGAGGGGTTTCAGGGCAGTTAGAAAAAATTCCTTGGGCATTCGGGCAGGTAAGAATCAATATTAGATTTTACCCATCCCACAACGCAGGTATCATAAGAGGAAGCCTAAATAATTAAGTCTAAGGCACGTGGTTTGTGAGATTTGTAACCTGGCTCAATTGTTTGAAAAAGTAATGTAATCATAGTAATGATAATAATAATAATAATAATAATAATAATAATAATTATTATTATTATTATTATTATTATTATGATAATGATAATTTTTACAACCTAAACCTTTATTATTATTATTATCCATTCGCTAAAATTCGATTCCTACAATATAGTATAAGCTCAATCAAAATAAAATCTGTCGTAGGTCTCATTTCACATAATTATTTCATTCTAATGATTACATTCTAATTGATTACATTCTGTTACTTCCTAATCCTATCCTTAACTATTTCCGAGTTCAACCTAACTCAAGAGAAATATCATGGAAAATCTTCTTTGAAAATAAAAAGTAAAAAAAAACATCCATAATAGTAATAATGATAATAACATATATTATCAGGGCAAACCTTTCAACAAAAGCTATTGCAAATGGATGCCCTAGGCGTCCAGCTATTGAAAAAGTAACTGCTATTGCCGATAACTCTGACTCTTAGTTGATTATTGCCTGGTATGTTATTTAGTGACATACGTTTTTCATTCTTTTTTAGTTTGAGGATGTTGCCTTAAACTGTGCGCTATGGCTGTTGGATGAAGCTGAACTTTCCTGTATCGCGCTATCCAGTCCAGTCCATGTTGTGCGTACCATATCAGCAATGGTGAGAAAAAATACTTGCCATAGTACACGCCTTTAATACTTAGTAAACCATTACATGCACTATGAAATCATTGTAATCGTTAAAGAACATGAAAGAGACGAACATGCTCTTCGTCATAAGTGGGGCCTAATTTACCAATTTTGGAAATAGCCCCTGTCCTCTTAAAAGAGAGTCCCATTCTGGGAACAGGACTCTAGGATCATTCATGATATTTATTCTTTTCCCTCTCCAAAATATACTGCTTACATGATGGCGACATAGTTAATTTCACATCCGTTTTAAAGTATCTAACAGGCAGAATAAAACAATCTCACCTTGCTTGAATTAAGAGTGATTACGACGGGTCGGTTTCTATCTGAAACCTTCAATAATCTTGAGAAACTACTCAATCTCGCATCTGTGTCTCTTCTTTAATAGAAATTGCGCAATAACCTCCGATGTCGTACAACGAATCTTCTTTTTGATAAAATGTTGCAAAAAAAGAGAACTTAAAAACATTTAATTAGATAATGTGATGTCTTCCTTAGGCCAACTCAAACGATAAGGACGGTGGGATTTTGTCAGGACGTTGGTCCAATACATTCCCTGAAGGAACAACACCACCACTGGCCTGGACTGGAAGCACTGCAATTCTCGAAGAGTTCTGGAAGACCAAAAAGGTTGTACGGTACGGACAGTGCTGGGTGTTCTCTGGACTAGTGACAGCATGTAAGAGAATGTTACAGCGATATATGAAAAATGCTTCAGTATGTTTCCTAGAATTACGCTAGAACTCGTCCGATCTCTTCGCGAGAAAAACCAAGAACTAAACTTGTCTCCGAAATGAAGTGGACAGGGTGGTTGGGGGCTGTTATTGATCCAGGTCATGACTGCCATAGGCAAGAAAATGTGAGATCCATATTTCCCCTCTCCACTTATAGTATTAAATATACAACTGTCAGCGAACAAAACTTATAAACACTTGGGGGATATCATTTTGGACAAGCATTTCTTCGAGGGAACAAAGAGAACTTGAACTCGATGTTAAAGGGGAACTGAAGCCTAAAAATGAACCATTTTTAAATTGCAGCTTATAGTTTAAATAAATGAAGGCTGATAGTTTCCAATGAAACTGTTTGGCGCTGCGTCGGCGGGGGTAACGAAATAATTTGAATATATCGACAAAGTTGAAATGGTAAATTGGCCACCGTTACGGTTATAAAAGCTGACGTTTCGAGCGTTAGCCCTTCGTCGGAGCGAATAGAGGAATTGTGGGTTGTGTGTGCTTTTAAGGCAGAAAATGGAGCTACGTAATTGGTGGGAACATGGCAACGATAAAAGCACGAATAAATTAGTGGATAAATTAGTTGCCATGTTCCCACCAATTACGTAGCTCCATTTTCTGCCTTTAAAAGCACACACAACCCACAATTCCTCTATTCGCTCCGACGAAGGGCTAACGCTCGAAACGTCAGCTTTTATAACCGTAACGGTGGCCAATTTACCATTTCAACTTTGTTGATATATTCAAATTATTTCGTTACCCCCACCGACGCAGCCCCAAACAGTTTCTTTAGAAACTATCAGCCAAAATAAAATGGTCAATTTTCACCTCAGGTGCACTTTAAGAATTTTTATTTGTTACATTTAC